ATTCGGGCGAACAGGGTTTTTGGCGATGTGTCCCTGTATAACTGTTTTATACAGGCGAGCAGGGTTTTCGGCGATATGTCCCTGTATAACTGTTTTATTCGGGCGAACAGGGTTTTTGGCGATGTGTCCCTGTATAACTGTTTTATACGGGCGAGCAGGGTTTTTGGCGATATGTCCCTGTATAACTGTTTTATACGGTTGAACAGGGTTGTCAGGAATATGTCCCTGTATAAATGTTTTATACGGTCGAACAGGGTTGTCAGGAATATGTCCCTATATAACTGTTTTATACGGTCGAACAGGGTTGTCAGGAATATGTTCCTGTATAACTGTTTTATACGGTTGAACAGGGTTTTTTGGCGATGTGTCCCTGTATAACTGTTTTATACGTTTAAACAAGGTTGTCAGGATGTGTCCCTGTATAACTGTTTTATACGGTTGAACAAGGTTGTCAGGAATTTGTCCCTGTATAACTGTTTTATACGGTTGAACAGGGTTGCCAGGAATTTGTTTCTGTTTTATCTGCATTTCAAAATGTGACGCTACGGGTCATTTGATGCTACGCTTTCAGGCTGCAATCCTAGATGGAGAAGAACTAACACTACAATGGAAGTAATCCAGTCGTTGAACAGGAAACTCTTTAGAAATATTATTACTGTACGATCTTAATGAAATACAATAGTCATTCTGTGGTCGAACGGACGATTGTCTGGTAACTTGTTCAGCATATGTATATGTCGGCGTCTGTGGCTTAGGCGTTGCGAACGAGCTTCGTAATGCCGGGGTTCCAGATTCGATCCCACTGCGGGCCTTGCGCCTTGAGCGTTGGTTTCGGCAGTGGTATCGAGAAGCCGACCGTCCAGGAAGCAGTGGCAGATTACTGGGCGTAAATTTGCCTAGGAAACCCACAACTGCCAAAAAATGCTGGGGTTGGTTCTGCAACGTCCTGTGAAGGATACGCAACTTTATATGTGTATGTATGTATATATATAATGTGATTGGATAGATGACTTTCGGGTAACTTGTCCAGTCTTGTCCATTATATGTCATGTGTAGTTGAGTAGGTGACTTTCATGTAACTTGTGCTTAAACGCCAACTGTCCAGGCTAATTAGGTCGGCGTGTTATCGACGCGTGCTAACCAAGCCATCGACCAGCGATAGTAGCACCCGGGGCCGCCTCGGTAAAGCTTAGCTAACCAAACAGTGGCAACCGCGCCTGGTAGATTTACTCACCGAGGACTTCCCGAGTTGGATCAATAAGTGAGCGGGGTCTCGCACGTTCGAGGCTAATCCATCCACAGATACGGCTCGCCAGCGTGTGTACGCTGACGTCTGCGTGTGCACCTGTGCTGCAGCGAGTTGTAGCGTAGCACAGCGGTTCTCAGGTTAACGGTTTCGGCACCAAACCATTAGGGGCCGCCGTGGTGTAAACGGCTAGGCGCTCGCCTGCGGATACAAAGGTCGTGGGCTCAAATCCATATTGAGTTTGACCTAAAAAAAGAGACCTTAGCTCTCAGGTCGACATAATCTTGACGAGTACCAGTTACAGTCTTGGGAAGTAAAGGTGGCCTTTATGCTGTTGGCTACATCACCCATCGAGTGCTGATTGGTCTATAAAATATAGATCTAGCACTTTATGCCCAATACGCCCGAAGGCGTGGAAAAGAGTAAATCTGCCCATTGTGGATGCTGCCTTACCTGATGTTGATTCCTTAGTCCATCGATAGTTTTTTTTCTTCTTTTCACTGTGGATCTCAGGTAAAATTGTCAACTGTCTCTAGCTTTTCACCTTCAGGAATGCAGGTCTGTGATTAACACCTTGCACCATAACTTGTGTCTTCTTTTTGCTGATTGTTAGGCCAAATTCGCAGTATACGTCAGCATATGCAGATAGTAAACAGTGCAGCTTATCTGAGTGGGTGGTAATTGCTTTATCATCTGCAAACAGCATCTCTCTGATGAGTACTTTCCTTATCCTGGATTTGACGTTCAGCCCACGAGCATTGTAGAGGCTGCAGTCAGATCGAAAATAAATTTATCACCCTCCTGATCCCGAAAGGCATGTTTCAAAAGAAGTGAGATGTATATTTCAAAAAGGACAGGATCAAGTACACATTCATGCTTCACTCCGTTGTTGACTACAAACTATTCCGATTTTACACCATCACAGTTGATTGTGAATTTCATACCTGGGTGGAACGTATTAGTAATGCCCAGTAGGGTAGGTAGACGCCCAGTCTTCTTGGGATGTTTAACAGACCTTACCGACGAACCAAATCAAATGCATTGGTAATACCCTTCCTTCCGTAGCAAAAACTTGGGCAGTATTCTAGAGACCATCTGCTGCTCACGCATCATGATCCGTCGCTGAGCCTGTCTTGTTTAGTTTAGAGAACATGTAACATCTGTACGTTTGGAACAGTGCACGCCGCAGCAGCTGTCGGATCAAAAGAGCAGGGCTCTATCTGTCCGCCTATCGGAGCTTCCCTACTCCACCAGCTGACAGCTCGGGCTAAATATATGGCATGCCATGCAATAACATAGTTTTCAGATTGCCTTTCCTTGTCCTGTCGGCTCTGTGGCTAAGTCGATGCGAACGCTTTGTAATGCCGGGGTGCCGGGTTCGATTCCAGCTGCGGGCCATAGGCCTTGCGTTGGTTTCGACAGTGGTATCAAGAAAGTCGACCGTCCAGTAAGTAAGCAATGGCAAACTACTGGACGTAAATTTGCCTAAAAAAACCACACAACAGCCAGGGGCTGCTGGGGTTGGTTCAGCAACGTCCTGTAAAGGATACACAACTAAC